AATTGAGTCAGGGACCACTGGATTCCGGTTTTTCCTGTTTTAATTGTCTGATGCATCACCCAGTCGACCACTAACAGGAAGATCATTGGGGAGAGCATGCATCCTTGTCGGACTCCTGTTCTCACCTCAAACTCCTCTGTCAATTTGTCGTTATGGATAATTTGGCGTGTGGCGCCTTCATAAAGTTGCTGGATCAGGGTGATGAAACTTTGAAACTCACACGCTACAGAAACCAAAGAACTGGCTAGAGAGAGTGAAATACTTTAGATCCTGTCAGAGACACTTACTGCTTGAACAGAGTTACATTCACGACGTGTCTCTAGATACCTAAGTGCTCTCTTCTCCTCTTCTCTTAGCTTTGCGTCTGCCTGCAGGAAACACACAGTAGCACAAAACACACACACTAAGAATCAAGGTTATCCAAACCAACAATCAAAACTCTCACTCTGCAAGGTTACAACTTTTTCCCGTCAAAGCATATGTCAAAACATTGCTATATGTGGGAGGAACTCATAGTGTATCTGTACTTAATATTCAAACCAGATGTCCTCAGACCAGATCTGGGCCACCTGCGTATGTGCCCCTAGACCCGATTCCTCTCCGACCTCTGACTGTGCTTCCGCTGTCAGAACGGTCAGATCAGAATCCATGTGGTCGTTTTAACATCTCCTCTGCACATACGGCCTGTCGTCATCATTTGGCGTCAGCCCCTCAGACTGGTAATAATAAACATGGAGGAGAGCGACGACAGCGATGAGGTCAGGGGAGAGAGCAGGACGTTTCACATGTGGTGGACGTTTATGGAGAAGCTTCTGATGAGGCCAAACTGGGAGGAACATATTATAACCCAGCGGTTTGGGAGGAAGCTGGGCCATTTGACCGTCGCACACACCACCTGGTTGTTATTCTTGTGCGCACATGGCTCACATTTTAGTTACATCTGTGCATGTGTGGCAGTTTAGGAGCTCAGCGGTGTTCACACCGGAGCCGGGTACACGGCACCAACACACACGGACGGGAAGCAGCAACACAACGAGGTCAGAGCTGAGCTTTAGCCTAAGATGTAGACACAGCCTTAAAGATGCCACCCTAAGATCAGTAAAATATTTTGTTTCACGGACTAAATAATTAACCAAAAAAAAAAAGAATTGAAAATAAAAATAACTAGGTGCAACCTTAATGTCACTTTGTAGGCACTTTAATTTTTCTTTAATGGCATCCCACATCTGAACGTAACCATATGCTTCATGCTAACCCCTGTACTTGTAATAATTATTGTAGCATACATATTTCATGTAGTTCTGGACGCCATTCTGTTGCAGGTAGGACGGTGCCTGTGTTCTGTAAAACCTCTCTGTAGAGTCCAGGTAGGCTTTCTCAAAGTTATCCCTGTAGATCTGCAGCTTGTCCTCCGAGTTAGAACACAGGTTTACTAGTGAGACAGAAGGACAGAGAGGGGGACAAAAAGTGGCTGTTACCGTAGTGTTTCTTCTTTAGAAATGTTCATAAAGTATTCAGTTTGTATTAATATCCTCTCCAGATATGTAAAGTAGAGCTGCAGAGATAAAGGTTTGTTTAACTGTACAGATTTGAAATAACTATTGTGTCTCTATTTATTGCTACATGTTTGTGCACTCACTGCCAATAATGTGCTCCTCTCTGCGACTGAATGCTCTCCCATGAGTTTATTTCTGTCTGTCTTACCATACGACTCTCGTACTCCTATAACGAGCTGGGAGTCGAAGGCCTCCCCCAGCCTCTCAGCGTGCACCAGCTTCATGGCGCTGTCCTGCAGGCGACTCTTAATGTTGGAAAAGATCGACTCGTTCCACGTGTCCAGCATCAGCTGGAAAGCATAAGGTAGGTAGAGTGATAAATGAGTATCAAGTGCAGCAAAAATATGAGTTATCCTACATTCCATCCATTCCAAGAATAGTTAAGGTAGAACATCATTCTCCCAGGGATCAAACCAAGATCACCATTCATACTTTAAGCTGTTCTCTCATAAGAGGATTTGTGGGGTGTCTGACTCTTTGCTACTCACTACCGCCTACATGTAACACTGATTATTTTGGAATCTAAAGTTTTCTTCTGTCTCACATCCGCTCCATCTCACAAATCTCTTCTTCCTTTTATGACTCCTCGCCTTTATCTTCTCCGGTCTTCTTGACCTGCTTTAGCTGCTTATGATTTTAAATCATTCTTTTCTTTTCATCTATTCCCCTCCTGTTCCTCTCACCTATGGAGCAAAATGTTGTTGTCCACAATGACTCCTTCTGCTCCTGCAATTCTCTTCCTTCCATCTTACTGCTTCCTTTTATGCCATTTTGTCCAATCTCTTAATGCAGTCCAAACCTTGGCCTTTCAACCTGCTCTCACCTTGCGTACGATGCTGTCCTCCATGTTTGTTTTCTTGTTGCTGCCTTGTTTGCCCATCAGAGTGATCTCCAGCTGACAGAAGGGTTTGGGCAGGATGTCGCATTGGGTGAAGAACTTCCTCCACTCTGCAATGTAGGCTTTTAGCAGCGCCGTGTCATCCTGGTGGCTCAGCACCCGCTGCCATGGCAACAGATACAAGGAAAAGTTAATTATTATAATTAAAATTTTATAAAAGACATAATCTAGACCATGACATTCAGTTTGTCCAAGACTGTGGATGTTCAAGGCACCGATTCTGAAGTTTGTGGAATGAAACAGAGACAATGACAAATGAGAGGACAGCCCAGCACAGAGAATCACAGTGAGGTACTGGGCCACCACGTGACACCAGAACAGCTCCACCTTGACTCTCCAGGTCTCTGAACCCTCCTGGACGGATGAACACCGTTCTTCCAACAGATGTTCCCTCAAGTGGTGTTTTGATGATGGTGGTGGAGACGCTGTCTAACACGTCGCTCCAACATCTCCCATAGCTGTTCAACTGGGCTGAGACCTGGTGACTGGGAAGGCCACAGCATCTGGTTCACATCATGGTCATCCTCATCAGACCAGTCAGTGACCCCTGGTCACTGTCATCCTGGAGGGGACCACTCAGTTATGCAGGTTTTTCCTTTCATTTGTCACAGTCTGTCTGACCAATAAAAACATTCATCCATCCTCCATGTGCCCATCAGCAACAAACAGTTCCTCCCAGAAACAGAGCTTTGTTGCAGCAAAATGTAGCCAATGAAAGTCAGTTTCATTTGTAGAGCACCCCACCAATACAAAGGCACAGAAAACACAAACAACATTAAAAACAATAAGCATTAAATCAATCTATTAACACCAAGCCAAACATCATCACCTCATTTAACCAGCACAAACACACTGACACACATGCTACTTACAGCCTGTGCTTGTTTGATGAAGTCTAGGATGTCCTCTTTGAGAGCCTGGTGGATTTTGGCTGGTCCTTTATCATCCCACAGACACACAGCATGGACATCTCTGGAGGACAGGAGGTAAGAAATTGAGCCTCCATCTCACAAGGATTTATGATCACTGATAGAGTCCTGTGAGCACCAACAGGATGAACTGTGCCCTTGTGTGACTTAATTTTTAGAGCAACATACCAACTGGTATCCCAGCTGCTGCCTGGGATATATGACTAATTTGAACCTGTTTTAATGATCGGTGGCTTTGTCGCAACATGTGTTGCTGCTCCAAACATTGCACCTCCATCTCTAGGGCACTCTTTAGGCTTTTACTCGACGTCACCAATGTCCACATAGTATGTACCTGTAGATGTTTTTTTTTAATGCAACACACCCTTCCATAGCTCTTGAAGGGGGTTATAGAGTAAATGGTATTTAAATGTGTTCCTGTTCCCTTCTCCTCTTTCACCAGCAAGCACCAGCTTCCTCTTCTTAACCACTTTTACTCTCCACCTTATCCGCTTGTTATTTAAGGTTAGTGAGATGAATCAAGTCTATTATATTTATAGCCAGTATCATGAAGAATATCACAGAATGCAGGTTGTTGTCAATGTTGTAGAGCAACAACAATGGCACAGTATAATACTCCTCACCCCTTGTGGCAGGGGAGCTGGAGCCAATCCCAAGTGACACTGAGCAAGAGGAAGGGTCACACAGGAACTGAGGAGTTTATCAACACAATATATAGATGCAGTTTATATCCAAAAATTACAAAACCAAGTAGAGTAACAATTCAGCATGCAACATTAATAGATAATATTTTCACCAATGTTAT